ACCTTAACCAAAATCAAAGTAGACTATCACTCACCCACACCAGATGGAAAACTCTACAGACTGTCGGTTCACAACCCATCACAAGCCAGCAAAACATCCACGAAACAAAGAAAGGTCTGTCACAGCCAAAAAATACACTCCAGACATACTCTTTTGTATTCTGAAGCAGACTATAGGGTTTTAAGTATGAAGTCACTTTCACTACATGGAAGGAAGACAATCAACACAGGCAGACTTGAGCGAGAGACCTTTCCCTGAATTATGGGTGAGAGATATTCCCACCTCTTTTATTGGTGGAAGATTGGCGGGAGTAGGATTTGAACCTACAACATTCAGATTATGAGCCTGACGAGTTACCAATTACTTTATCCTGCGCGCGTAGTATTAGTATGGCTCTTCGTTGCACAAGAAATAGGTCCGAGTCTCACAAAATAAATTAGTACATATGGCATAAGACGATTTCAAGGTTCGGGGTTGGAATGGTATTGGGTGTTTTCACGTCCTACAATAGTACCCGGATACTCGGAATTGTGCTTCGCGCCTTTGGTAACTAGTCTGATTAGATCTGCATTAAATCAAATCTTGATGGTTAACTTGCAACACCACTGACAATCAACACTTCATGCCTCCAAGCTCAGGCTTGATTTATCAAAGTGTAGGTACTTGACCTATCAATTTTTATTTCCAAGCGGGATTAGATTAACACAATTGCCTAAAGTGTAACAGAGGCAAACGCAAGTAAGCTCAAGCTAGCACTTTGTGAAGCTGTAGAGTATAATGGTCAAAGTCTGCCTGATTGTGAGACCTACAAGTTGAACAGGGGCGGAAGTCGGCCATAGTGATCCAGGGGCCCCGTGTGGAAGGACTCTCGCTCAATGGATCAAAGGTACATCGAGGATAACACGTTAACGACTCCCAAGATCTCACATCGACGGAGTCGTTTGGCACCTCATCATCTTGGGGTACTTGCAGAGTAATGTGTAGGTGCGAGGCCGGATAAATTTGTAGAATAGTCTATCAACGAAGGAGTGACTGTGATGTACAACAAAAACAACAAAACTGTTGTAACAACTGTATGAAAATTAACTACAAGCTCTTTGCAAACTAATTTGCAGAAAAGTCTCATTATATGATACGAGAGTAATTGACTATTTCAGTTATTAAATAATAAAACATATATATAAACTCTAAAGCATGGTAACCGACCGGACGTCCGGACCGGTTTCTAGACACCCCCAAACATTATGTAGGGATCCGGTGTCCGGTCCTGGACGTCCGAAACAGGGCCCCCCAACGAAAAATCGAAAAAAAAAAGGGGCCGCCAAGGACATTTTTCGGGTCCTTAGCGGCCCCACAAAAATACTGGGCCGATTTTGTGTGTCGTTTCGCCCTACCGGACATAGGTCGAAGGCCGAACCCACCACAGTCTGCGCAGACTCAGGTGGGGTGGCGGGAGGTAGGGCCAACACTTTCAAACTGGTCGTTTTGAATCTCGCGGGCGCGCTGTTCGGAAGCCGCCAGCTGCTGCCCGTCACGTCCCCCCTGCAGCCCCGCAACCATCCACGAGGAAGACGCCATCCGCCACCAACGTCCAAGAAGCAGCGAGCCGCCGCCAACGTCCAGCCCTCGCCGACGAACCAGCCAGCCGCCGCCATCGTCCAAGAAGCAGGTCAGTCTCTCTCTCTCTCTCTCTCTCTCTCTCTCTCTCTCTCTCTCTCTCTCTCTCTCTCTCTCTTCCGGGTTTGTCCTTTCTTCTGACTTTGTCCTTTCTTCCACGGCGGGAGCTTCCGGGTTGATCTTTTGTAGTATACTGTTGTCGTGCTCCAATCTTTTGAACTTTCGTGGGGGAGGGGGAAGGCGCGCAGTGTGAGGGATGAGGTTCGGGGAGACGGGTCATAGGGGGTTCGGGGAGATTGATTGATTGATTGATTGATTGATTGATTGATTCGGGGAGACGGGTAGGGAGAGGGATAGGGGGGATACGAGGTTCGGGGAGACGGGTAGGGAGAGGGATAGGGGGGATACGAGGTTCGGGGAGACGGGTAGGGAGAGGGATAGGGCCAATACGAGGTTCGGGGAGATAGGGGGAAGAGGGACAGATGGGAGAGGGGAGGCGCGGAGTGGGGGGAAGGAGGTCCATGGAGGGAGGGATGGAGACTGGCAGGGAGTCGAGAAAGATGGGGGGGACGAGCAGAAGAGGGTCGGGATGGGGACTGGCGGGTACGAGGTTCAGGGAGGTTTGGGAGGAGGTTCGGGGAGGGAGGGGGAAGATGTACAGTGTGAGGAACGAGG